CATAATATGCAAATTAATTGAAATTAAATTACTTAAATCGATATTCACTGAGAAAAGTGTCCAGTGATTGACCTCACATTCTTGCAGCTCTGTCTCAGAAACAAGGGGGCTAGCTAAAGGCGCTAGGTTCCGCACCGCTAACCAGCTATCTTCAGGTACAGGTAAAAAGATGAAAAATTAGATAAAGCAGCTGTTCTTAATTAGTTTTGTAGTTTTCGAGGAGGAGGGCATGTCACACAAACTATGTAAGCATATGATAAGGAAAAAAACACTCCTGCTAAATGCTCAGAGACAAGGAGGCTAGACCCCTTTAATTTGTGACATGGGTCTGAATAAGAGGCACGGGTGATTGGCACGTCCCCTCCATACTCCCCGCAGTCATAAGGAAGTTTTGGAGAGGGTTGGCTTATCTGTACAGGCCGTTCCACTACGTTATGATTACACATTTGGTCCTGAGCCGCACACACACACACTCACCGCCCCTCTCACATCCCCTCTCACCTCCCGGCCGTCAAGAAGAAAAACTGACAGCAATTACATGTGTGAGCACACTCGCGCGTGGGTGCGGACAAACACTTGCATTCACGCCAAGACGCTTTTGCAGGTGTTCGCATCAGTTCTTATAGAGTGCTGGCACTGACTGCAGACATTATGTGTGATTCCCACAGCCTGCGTCTCAAATCTTGGCAGCACTGTGACGAGCAAATCCGAGTCTCCCAAGAGCGCAAAGTAAAGCACTAATGTGCTTAGACCATTATGCTAGTTATACAGGCCTTTGTGCACGTAGTTCTGACTGCTTAGTAGCATTGAATGTGTTTCATATACTAAAACCACATTTGAAATCGCAGCACAGGCAGACATGCTTATTGCTTAAACAACAGGCCACTTTAGAAAACAAAGCAGTAGATGAGGATTAGCTTCTCAGATATATACAGAGTCAAATCCACAAATCCTTTCAATCAAGTCTGTCATTGTTCAATGAAACTCCTTTAAATATGTGTATACGTAATGTAATATGATAAAAAGGTATTATTACAATTCATTTTAATAATTGCAACAGATTATACAGACACACACTTATTTATATATAATTTATTGTAATATTTTATTAAAATTACTATATATACATATATATATAATATTGAAAATAGAATGATAAAATATTATATATCATATCATTTCAAATATAATCAGTAGAGAATACATATTAAAATCATATGTTTTCATTATTTTAATAATAGTATATATAAATTATTGTAATGTATTTTTAGAATATTAAAAAATGACTATTGTATTAAAATCTAAAATTGTATCAGAACAATATAATGTGTAGAAAATAGTTATAATTTCTATTATATTTCTATTATTATAATTTGTATTGTTTTATATAATTTATAATAAAAATTATAAATATGTTATGAACCTTTTATAATTGATAGATAGATAGATAGATAGATAGATAGATAGATAGATAGATAGACAGACAGACAGACAGACAGACAGACAGACAGACAGATAGATTTTTTTATATATATAATTCTATATATTTTACTATATATATTCAGGGCAATACATTCAAGTAAATAAATAAATGTATTTACATTTCTAATCAAGAAAAAAAAAACATACTAGACACAACAAATAGCCTCAAAAAATTTTTTTTAAATTAACACTGATCCTTGTAGTGATATGTATGTTTAACAGGGGGATTAGACCACAAAAAAACAACGAGAAATTAAAACTTCAGGAGGCAGATGGCATTTGTGCTAGTATTACGCAACAGTGCACATATGGAATATGGTTGTGTTGTCCCTTTAAAGATGGTGTCCCACAATCATCATCGCTTCATGGCTCTGGTATTACCCATATGACCTGCGTTATTTCACACAAAATTAATTTACCCTCAGTCTAATCACATGATAAGCACAGCTGTTAATGCTTGGAAATGTATCATTTCCGTCTGACCTGCAAAATATGAAGGAACCAAGAAGCTAAATGTCATAATATACTGTTAACCATACATTTAAATTCTAATCAAGATCATATTTAACCAATGTCACTAGATACTTGACTCGACAAACATGCTAACTAGAAGGCCATGTCTTGTACAGTATATGCAGCTAAATTACGTTACCCATTAAGACAACACATATTCGATATCTCTCAGGAAATCCAAAAGTACTCCTCTCCTTGGAGTATCTCCAAAGGACGTGCTAACCCTGTAGAGAAGATGGGTCACCTCAGAGGAGCTGTCCTGCTTCCCTGGCTTAAAATATCACGTTTAGTCACGCGCACACGAACACACCAAGACACAGATGCCTGTATGGATAAAGCCCTATGCACTCAGCTGATTGGTGTTTGCATGTTGGACAGGAATGCGATGACACCTGAACCATAATTATGAAATTGCTTTACTTGATTTGCGATAATCCTGAGACAAGAGCCCAAAGACTGGCTAACGCTGCCAAATGACTGATTTTGCACACCAAATAAACACATTAACACTTTCAAAACTGCTAAACCAAACCTTTCATAATGATTTAAAGGTAATAATATCGCAAAGAAAATGTCACTCAAAAAGCGCACAATGCACATCACATAACATCAACTACTAATCATCTTTTACAAAGTTGTACTATGCTAATACAATACTAACAATATTGTATGGGGAATTATTTTGGAACAGTGCTATTTTAGTGTAACTGAGATGCTATTAAAGTTTGTATTAATATTCTAAATCAGTTATTATATTATACATTATTTTATTTCCAGATTTAATTTGAATGTTAAAGGAGTCATATGATGCAATTTCAAATTTTCCTTTCTCTTTGGAGTGTTACAAGCTGTTCGTGCATTGATAAGATCCCTAAAGTTGCAAAGACTAAAGTCTCAAACCCAAAGAGATATTCTTTATAAAAGTTTAGACTCGTCCACGCCCTCCTAAAACGCCTCGTTTAAACACGCCCCCAACATGTCTACATCACTGTGTGGGAAGATTTACATACCGCCCAACTGTATACGCAAAGAAAGAAGGCGTAACTTTTATTCTCACTGTAGTATTGTTGTTGGAGCCACCGCCACGTCGTGGAGACGCTGTGTGATTCGTTGTGAAAGCGAAACTACTTTGTTTGGCATTCCAAAAGAGGACACAACTAGAAATCAGTGGTTAAGTTGCATTTACAACACTGTTCCAGAACAGTTCAACCCAAATATTCGGATGTGTGCAGCGCATTTTATGGAGGATGTTTCCTGAACCTGCAGAGTATTCTACAATGCTGTGCACAAAGGCTGTTTCTATGAAGTGGGGCAGTTACAACTTTGCAAGGACAGTCTGGCGCTTCTGACTCACAGCTTGTAAGTACGTTTTTTATATTTAAAGAACTTGCAACTGACTATTCAAACGTGAGTTTTGAGCAGTGTAGAGTAGCGCTTGTTGTTTGTCGTTTCTCTGATCACAAATGCAGACATGGATTTATGTTTACGCGGCGCGATACGCAACGCAACACGTAAAAAGACAGTATAAGTCATTATAATCAGTAATTATGTCCCCACTGGATGCAACAAATGTCTCGTTTGTAATGGGTTTTATTGGTGTTGTCTCATCGCGCCGGGACACAGCATCACAGTATGGTGAGGGGCGTAACATTTCCATCACACGCTAGAGGTATTCAGCCAATCACAACGCACTGGACAGCTGGCCAATCAGAGCACACCTTGCTTTTCAGAACGATGAGCTTTGTAAAAATCGATGCGTTTCAGAAAGGCGGGGCATAGAGGAGAAACAATAATGTACCGTATGTGGAAATAATGTGTTTTTTTAACCTTAAACCACATAAACATATTGCATTACACCAAATAAACAACATAATGTTCTTTTTAGCAACATAATATGACCCCTTTAATATATATATATATTTTTATATATGTATGTCTATATAGTTTTTATTAACTTCTATATCAGTTTTAGTTATTTTATTAAGTTAAACTAAATTAAAATGAAAAATGTTGCCTTGTCAACAAGCTGAAATAAAATTGGTTAAAGCATGGCTTTGATTTAAGTTTCAGTTTTAGGTTTAATTAACTATAATAACCCTTTTTCAGTAAACATTACTGAGAAATGTATACTTGGTCATGTTATTTATGTATTTATTTATGAATTAATGTATTTTATTTTTATTTTATAATTTATTATTTGATTTGATTTTTATTTTGTTCTGTTTTGTTTTATACCATATCACCATCTAGGATTATTTCCATGGCAAGAACAGGGCAAAAAATACTGTTAACAAATTAGTTAAACAAATGAATGATTATTATAAATAAAAATTATAAATAATTTATCGACAGATGAATTCTGTCTCAGATTGTTTAGGTGCACCTAAAAATGTAAAATTCTAGTAGTTTTCCTGTTGATAGTTACTAAATACATCCTATAGATAACAAATGAATTCATTGTCAAAAGACATTAAAACAGCAGCGATTCAGGTTTTCGCTATTTAATCAGAAAAAGACTAAATGTAAATGCCTTTTAAGACACACTTGAGATGGATAGCAAATTGCATGGAAATGTACTGTGCTTTCCCAATCGGATCACAATCTCAAACAGCTCCAATGAGACAATGCAACTTTGATGCAAGCACACAACGTCAAAAAGCCAAAAAGCTAATGAGTAACAATTACCTCATTATAAAAACCTAACAGTGCAAAGACTTACGTGGCATTTTGAAATCATCAGGTCTTTCTCCCATTTTGACATTCAATGAATATGAATACTGGCATGATGCAGAATAAAACTGGCATAATATGTTGATCAAGATTGGCTTCAAGCATTTACAGACTGATAAAAGAACATTTAATGCGTCACAACCAAGGCTTATGTTCGCTTATGGTGTTAGATATGAAATTCAACCCTGCATGGTGTCCATCCGCCAGTTAACCACAGCGAAAAATCAATGGAGGCTTGATTATATAAAGAAAGAAAAAAAACACATTTAACTTACAGCTCGAAAAGTTGGAGATTCTGAAAAAGTTGCCATGAGAGAGTTGTCAGAGGGTTCCCGGACAAGTTTCTGCAGTGGAGAGAGAGAAAAAAGAGAGAGAGAAAGAGAGAGAGTTTAATGATTTAACAATGACTATTTGCGACAAGGTGATAAAGAAAACACAGGGGAGGCAACAACGGCAGTGCGGCGACCGGCCAAAAGTTAACGGAATAAGTACAGCAGTACGGTACCTTGCAGCCTCACCAATCCAATAAACAGAGACTTGGTCATTTTCAAGACAACAAATTAAATCGCGGAAAAGGAGGCCTGGAGCCTTAAAAGCAACTAAACTCAATACAATGCTAAATGACTGTGAAGCAGATAAGGCATGTTTTCAGAACAGAGCTTTTAGATGTGGGAGGCCGAAATGGAAGCATTACTCCAAAATAGAAGTGAGGGTCTCTAAATGATGTTTGTGTCAAGTCCAGTAACTAATACAGTGGGATGGCACAGAAATGAAAGGTATTATGTGAATAACGCTGTTCAAGATTTCACCGAAGCTCTCCATAAGGAGAGCGTTTGGAGTTAAACTAAAAGTAAACATCTTTTCTCTTGCATACTTACATGCACAAATACATACAGTACCGCCTTGTGAGACGGCAGCAAGCAATGCCTCTCCTGGGGCTGAAACAAAAACCCTGGAGCCTCACTAACAGGCCTTCATTATCAATAATTATTGAATACTTCAGATCACTTAATACCCCAACACTGGTCCGCTCAGATCCTATCAGGTGCAGCTGACAGATAATCAATGCACCCAGATGCATCCTTTCACCCCAGTGCCGCCCAGGGGACTGAAGCCTGCTGACTGGCCGTCCCTGACCCGTTCCTTCACCTGCATTTTATTTCATCAACTACTGACAGCAAAACAACAGATCATTACAGCTAACTAGAACTATTGTACATAAAACAATGGAAGTGGAGCCCTGTCAGCCTAAATGCAGATCTGGGCCTGTACAACCTGAGTTAACCAAGCTTAAATATTACACATCAACTTGAAATCAAAATTAATCATTTTACTTCTGGGCCTATGTAATGCATGCTCCTGGTGTTATTGTGCACACATATTTAAGAAAACAGGGATGCTTATTTTAGCAAGGTTGCATTAAACTGATCAAAAGTGACAGTAAAGACTTTTGCATTGTTATATAAAAAAATAAAATAAACAATCCATTTCAAATAAATGCTGTTCTTTTAACTTTCTATAATTAAAAAAGAAAAAAGAAAAATGTGGTTTCCACAAAAATATTACGCAGAGCAGCAGTTTTAAAAACTGATAATCATTTAAATAATCACTTTGCCATCACTGTAATAAATTAAAATATAAATCTTCATATATATTAAACAGAAAATTTAAAAAAAAATCTAAATAAAGAAAAAATATTTTAAATTGTAATAATATTACAAAATATTAAAGTTTTCCTTTTTCCTTGTTAAGTCTTCTGTGAAAAAATCATTAAAAAATTAAAATGAAAACTTGGTAGTGTGTGTAATAAACTTGGTAGTGCCAAATTTTCTCAAGGAAAAAAAATCTCTCAACTAATGCTGTAAAATATACACGAGAGTCAGTTAGTACTAGCTACATTACTATAATATTGAAGGTTACAACTGATTTATAGGCAACACAACTGCTAAAATTACACTTAAGTTTTTAAAATAATAAAGTTAGAATTACATAATAATATTTTTACTTAATTTTTATTTTTTTTTAAATAGGCTATAAACATTTAAATAGTGGCTGTCAGAAAACTTTATGGATTCATTCAAACATAAATGAAACACTGAAGAACAGTAAAAATTATAATGAAGATGTTACAGTCGTGGTCAGAATTATTGGCACCCTTGGTAAATATGATCAAAGAAGGCTGTGAAAATAAATCTGCATTGTTAATCACTTTGATCTTTTATTTTAAAAATTAACATAAATCTAACCTTTCATTGAACTAAAACAATTGAAAATGGGGGAAAATCTCATTATGAAATAAATGTTTTTTTTCTCAAATACGTTGGACACAATTATTGGTACCCCTAGAAATTCTTATGAGTAAAATATCTGTGAAGTATATTCACATTCATATTTACAAAATGTGAGCATAGCAGGGTGATTATGAACATGAAATTATCCAGCAATGGCTTCCTGTTTCACAGGAATATAAATAGGAGGGAAAACAAAGGCCAAATTCCCTTAATCATCCATCACAATGAGAAAAACCAAAGAATATATTTCTGATGTGCAGCAAAAGATAATTGAGCTTCACAAATTAGAAAGTGACTTTAAGAAAAGAGCTAGAGCAGTGAAAATTCCCATTTCCACCACCAGGGCAATAATTAAGAATTTCTAATCAACAGAAAATGTTACAAATCTGCCTGGAAGAGGACGTGTGTCTATATCATCCTAATGCACGGTGAGGAGGAGAGTTTGAGTGGCTAAAGACTCTCCCAAGGACCACAGCTGGAGAATTGCAGAAAATAGTTGAGTCTCAGGGTCAGAAAAACTTAAAAACTAATTTTAAAAAAATTCAAACAGCACCTACACCACATGTTGTTTGGGAGGGTTTCAAGAAGAAAAAAAATCAAGAAAATAAAATGCTCTCATCCAAAAACAATCCCCAGCATATTCTGTTGTCAGACACGACTGGAACTTCAAATGGGACTGGTTTCTCTGGTCAGAAGTAACTAAAAAAAATTAGCTTTTTAGCAGCAAACACTCAAGATGGGTTTGGTGCACACAGGGATAAAAAGTACCCCATGCCAATAATTCTGACCACGACTGTATATGGTGCATATACTGTATTTAGCAACATGCCCCTCTCTACAGTTTATTTTTCTAGCTGACTAATGAGTTTATGGTCACCGTGACCGAACATGTTTTTCTGAGGTAAATGTGATGTTACGTGACATTGTTTACAAGCCCTTATATTGATGTCTTTGCGCGGCTAAAACACTGATTGAGCGATTACATGAGACAGGATACGGATTGTAAAGTTATACTCTTTTTTTTAACTTACCTTCGGATGTTTAGTCATGTTTATTTTGTGCTGAAACTGGTATTAATGTGGAGGAGATGATCGTTTCACGTGCGCCTCGCGCTGCCGCGTCTGTTGAACTGAGGCGCTACAGCGATCTGTCACTCCACATTAAACAGCGCCAAAACGGCATTTATTGTTTGAATACTGCAATACAAAGGACATCATTTGAAATCTGAGACTTTGTTTCATATTAAAAGTACCAAAGCACAATGCTTATTGCGATATATTGGATGGGAAGTGCCCTTCAACGTTCCGTCCATTAACTGAAAACAGGCTAGACTAATCAATTCTTGGGATTTAAGAATCGATATAATTCCGTAAAAAATGAGAAGAATCTAAATTTTTTATCCAGCCCAGATAGATAGATAGATAGATAGATAGATATTTTATTAACCAGGAAAGGTTAATTGCATTTTATTTATTTAATTATTTTTTTCACCTGCAGGTGGCAGAGTATGTCTGAAAAGTTCTTCAGATATGTGAACCTTGTTTAGTAACCCCAGCATGCATATTTTGGTAGCTAATAAAGTCATAATAGGATAAAAGAGAGCTTAAAGGGCCCTTTTGGCATATCATGGTACAAAGATGTAAGTACCACTGTAAACAAGGTGCACTTCCTGGAGAGTTCTTGAAAGGAACCAATCTAATCTGAATCTGCTTAGCTGGTCCCTAGTGTGGCACATAAAGAATCTCCAGCAGCAAAAATAAATAAATAAAATAAAAACGTGCTTGCTGCTCTGACTTGTTGCCATAGCAACTTCAGCCTGTGAATCCTCACACTTTCCTTTCTCCCCATTTCCTGTGGCGCAGGATGGGAGGCAGGAACCAGTGACGGAGAGCGTCCTGTGACACACCGTAGATGAGAGAAGGTGACGACTGGTAAAAAGACAGACAAAAATGTATAAATTGACAAACAAAATAACCTTCGGATCCTCAAATGAAAGTTTCTCACTAACGCGCCCACTCCTGCTCCGCTTGCCCTCGGCATTCTAATCACCTCATTAAATTGATAATGAGATTATTAGGGTGGCCTCCACAGGGACACACAAGGACTCCATATTTTGGTGGGAACATTATTATTCTTAGCACACAATAGACAAGTTCATCTGGACAGTGGGCTTTAAAGGAAGGGGTCTGGGGGATCTGGACAACTAAACCCGGAGTGCTGTCCATCAAGGCTTGATTCCTGCAAGACCCTCACACAATAACAAATCTGCAATGGAAAAATTACTTTCAAGGACTTGAACAGCTGGGGGAACAGGACCAGGAAAAACAGAAGATTGTGTGTGTGTGTGTGTGTGTGTGTGTGCGCATGTTTATGTGGTTTATGAGGGCACAAATTTGTATAATAGCATGGGTATGACATAGGTATTACAATGAGAAGGTGATTTATGAGGACATTTTCAGTGTCCCCGTATTTCAAAAGGCTTATAAATAATTCAGAATTAGTTTTTTTGAAAATCTAAAAATGCAGAAAGTTTCCTGTAAGGGGTAGGTTTAGGGGTAGGGTTGGTGTAGGCCAATAGAAAATACGGTTTGTACAGTATAAAAACCATTACGCCTATGGAGAGTCCCCGTAAACCATAAAAACAAACCTGTGTGTGTGTGTGTGTGTGTGTGTGTGTGTGTGTGTGTGTGTAAAATTTTGGTCTGTGTTGCTAATTTGCTAAATACTTGAAAAATACTAAATACTTGAAAAATGTCATTAATATTTCAAAAGCCTGGCAGAAAGACAACTAAATAATCTCATGTATATTTCAAATTGTACTGTTACCTGCAACCTCAACCCTGTTACCAAAGTTATTGTATTAAAAAAAACAAATATAATAATAATAATAATAACAATAATGTATTATTATTATTTATAACAAATTGAATTTTATCAAGAACTACAATCCAACATTTGGATTAAGAAAAAAACCATTTGAATTCAAAAAGTAAAATAAGAAGAAGAATAATTTTTTTATTATTATTATATAAATGTATGTAAATAATTGATTC